AGGTTAAAATCTGTTAAAACCACGTATCAAAACCACTTATAAGTACATCTTTTGTAAGAACCTTACCTTCTGTTCCCTGACAGCTACCTCAGCTGATTCGAAGTCTACGCCACTTGTTGGGCACTTGATCTCAAGCAGCTCTTCATCGCCAATCAGGCCGTCTGGAATAAAATTTCAATACTTTAACATGATGTTCTGAGACTTTAAATACTCGTGTTTTTGAGTGAATTCTCACCCGGGCTGGCTGCTAGGAAGGGAAGCTGCTTGTCCACCACGAGTCCGACCCTCTCAACCGTCAGGCCGTGCTTTTCCTCGTAGTGGCGCCTGGCGGTTTCCTCCATGTCCGTCCCGTGCTGCATGGCCGCAGTGCGGTTTTTGGGAGTGTGGACCATGGTTCGTAGAAGTATCTTGCAGCTTTTCCCCCTTTCCCTTCTGACTATAGGGCCAAAAGTACTGGCAGTGAGGCGAATTTTCCGCGCCTCCATCCACTGGTGCCCCCCCTGCGGATAAGAGGCCACCTCTTGCAGGCGGGTCAGGTCTGCCTGCAGCCGGTCGGTCACTTCCTGCATCCTGCGTTCGAGCTGGGGGTCTTCCTCTAGGGGGAGCTCGTGGGCGGCGGGGTCCGGGTCGTCGACGCTCTCGTCCCTGTCGCCGGGGGCGCGCGCCTCCAGCCCGTAGCCCTGGGGTCCCCCAGGCGCGTCGCACACACGCCGCGGCCGCGGCCCGGGCTGCTCCCGTGCGATGGCTCGGCGGGTTCGCTGCTGCTTCAGCCTCCTGACCTTAGTTTCAGAATGCTTAGCAGTGTATTGGCCTGAAAGGTACAGAACAACTGTTATTCTTATCTTTGCGCGCTTTTAGCGTTTACACGATCGAAAAATAATCACCTGGACTGGCACCGTCCTGCAGTTCCCGGTGCATGACTTCGCGGAACCCCCCAGAAGTGTTCATGGCCAAGGCGGCGGCTGCACACCTTGTGTTGAACGACTCTCTGCCGGAGTAAAACACCCGTTTGCCGGCAATGAACTTGGCTACCACGCTGTTAGCAACCTCGCACAAATTGTTGTTGGCATTGTGGATCAAGCTGTGGGCGTGATTAGCGACTGAGTCTAGGTTTTCCATCAGCTTTCTCCACAATCCAGACTTTTCCAAACGAGGAACCAAATTTTGTTCAGGCGCGGCCACTCCCGCCCCACCCGTGCACTGAGACGGCCCGGGGGCCGAGGTGGCTGCTGCAGCCGCCGCTGCTGCTCGCCGCTGCTGGGCTGCGGGACAGAAGTAGTCCGCACACGCCTTGTGGTCGCCAAACACATGGCTCGCCACGTTCAGAATGTCTTTCCTCAAGTTCTGCGTGCGTTCGTGTAGAGTTCCTGGAATAGAACAAGAAATAATAAAAACAAAATCAGAGATGAGAAGGGGGGGGGTGCCCTTATGCGTCTCACAAGGCGGCTGCTGAAAGCTGGGAACAAACGCCTGAAAGTAGGCAGCCCGCGCAGCAAGTAGTTACCCATTTGTCCAGAGCGGTAGGTGGTAGCCTGGCATATGCCTGTTGCTAGTCGCGTGATGTTCTTCTTGATCTCTGAGCGCAAAGCCCTAATCTCCTTCCTCCAGAACTGCTCTTGTCCTTGGTCCTTGGCTCCATCGGGCAAAGGAAAGTTAGTGTTGGTGCTCAGCTGCATACACCACGTCCTGTAGTTTCGCAGCAGATGGTTCTTGCAGTCTATTTTCTGTACGGTGTGCAGGACGCCGTAGGGAGCTGAGTCGAGCAGGGTTGTGTGGACGGTTGAATCCCGATCAGCTGTGATAAAGTAGGATTGGATACACTTTAATAAAAAAAGGGGCAGGATTTACTGATCGGGGGATACGCTGTACCGGTCGATTCAGAGAAGACGCAGGTGCGAGCGGGTTTGCTTATCCAAGGGGCCACGGCGCCTTACGGGCAGGAGTAGGCAAACCTCCTCGCACCGGCTCGTGTACTTCTGGAAATAAGGCACGGCTTAGCACCTTTGTTTTCCCGGTTCTGTTCACATACTCACCGACGAGCTGGAGGTATCGAACCCCGTGCATATCCATGCTCGCTTGGAAGCCAGACAAAAGGATCGCGGATTCCATTTGCCCGCTAGCGCCTGAGAAGTTTTTAGCACACGTATGGGTTTTAATCTTCCTATTGCTGTTCAGGTAGAGCACACACAGGAAGCAGTGTTTGTTCTTCACTGCATAGAACAGGACTTTGCGTGTACGAGCGCCAATAATAAACGCCTGCAACAAAGTAAATAAATACACAAATAAATAAATTAATAAAAATAACTCTGTTTACCATTGTAGAATCCACACTTACAACTCCAGACTTCGCATTGTACGTTGTGCCATATGACCGTTTACCCCACATCCCGTCAGCAATGACACGGATCCACGGCACTCCGTCGGGGGAAACGTCGCCTGCCTCTATTGCTAGGAGCACCTCCTTCATGCCAGCCTCCAGCATTGACTCCAGAGTCATCTTCTCAAACTCGGTTCCGAGCCATTGCTCATTGCGTCTGTACGTGGACGGCACCATACAGGGCATGTTGACAGCCGCGGCCATCTCTGAAATGTTCGCATACCCTCCACCGCCTGTAAAAATAGTTTCTTGTATTGCAAGATCTGGTCTTGGGATGCCATTGGCGTTTTCCATAGGATCCAAGACCGGGTCTTGAAATAAAAGATTTTTTTTTACCATTGAGTGCACCCAACGTCATGGCCTTATTGATGCTCAGAGTTTTTCCATAGCGTTTATCCGTGTCGAGGCGCGTCAGTACACGGCACTCCCTGCATTTGAACACGAGGATCGACTGGAAGCCAATCTTCTCCTCGCCTATGAAGTAAGAGTCGAAGAAAGAGCATTTCTCGCCAATCGGTGCGTGTGAGGAGTCTGCTTGTATCTGTTCAATGAAGGCTTCAACAGTAATAGCTCGTCGCCCGGTTAGCCTCGGTGGAGGGAGGCCCCCTGCATTTTGCTGCCTGCAAATAATTAATTGATTAGCACGGGTGCGTGAAAGGGGAAGGGGGTGGCGTGGACGAATAGTCTGCTTACACTTCTCTAAGTGGCGGCACAGGTGACGGTGCTCTGTCCTGAAAGTCAAAAACCCCTCCTGCCGCTAATTTTGGAGTCGATGCGCCAAACACTGGCGGGGCCGGGCTGCCTGCGGGTGTCCGCGGCTCCGGCTGCGGTGCAGCTGGGGGCGTACATGGTCGTGCCTCCGGCTGCGGTGCAGCTGGGGGCGTACTTGGTCGTGCCTCCGGCTGCGGTGCAGCTGGGGGCGTACTTGGTCGTGCC